GTGGTTTTGGCACTCATGCTTGCAATAGTCAGGACTGTGTTTAACAAAATATCCACGGGTTTCCTGCAAAATTCACATCTCGAATGTTTTGCTCTGTTGGTTCAGAGATCTTTTTGCCTTAAAAGCGCATAGAGCACTCTGTGTTTATGATCAGACTGTTGAAATGTCAAGGCTAATTACACTAGTGTGTTCCCAAGTGAATAAATGCATCTTTTAAAGAATATCCTGTTGAGATCAACAAAATAAGATGTTGGCGTGATTGCTTGCAAACTACTTAAAGGAAAAAATTATAATAAAAAGCAGGATCTAAATATTGGAAAGTAGAGATGGGAGAAACCTATTAGTTCACCTCATCCATTCTACATTGGCACAAAATAATTTTTTTTATATTCTATTGTGGAGTGATTTCTTTTTTGGTCAGTCCAGTTCTAGTTGCTTGAAAAACCAAAGCCTCTGATACTTACTTCCCTTAAAGGACTTTTTTTTTTTTCTTTTGCTCTAAATTTCATCCTCTTCAGTTCTGTTTTTGAGATGTAAATTTTGGCTAGACACTGGGATTTGATACTGTTTCCAAATCAACAGGGCAATTTACATTCCATCTTTGAAAGTGACATAGAAACTAGGGAGCCAGAGCCTCACTAAAATGAATGACTTGGCTTCTGGTGCAGACATCGTTTTTGGATGCTTGGGTCCCTCAGACAAGCCATGTTTCATCTGTCCTGTCTGCATTTGCACAGCACCAGCAAAGCAAAATGCTAACCTAATTTAGAGCTCCTGCCTGCTACACCAACACAGGTAGATCATACTCCCTCAGACCCAGGACCGCTTGTGCAAGAACGCTCTATTTTGAGTCTCCAAAATGCAGTAGCTTGCTTCTCCACTGCTTTTGTTTCCATGGGGGACTTTGGTGTGGTAACGATGATTTGAAGGACTAGCTAGGGTTGGTCTGCCTTCCACGGAGATCCATGCTGTTGCTGGTGAAGGCAACACACGAGGTACGTTAGTTTGTCAGATTAAGCAGACGTAGATAGCTTAGAGTTGTTTTTCTGTTATGCCCGCTACAGGGTGGCACTTCTCACAGTGCGGTCTTCACCAGGGGCTGCCTTCCCCTTGGAGCATCTCAGCATCCAGGGGACGATCGCTTCCCTCTCAGAAGGGAGGTTGTGGGAGAACAGAAGAGTCCTATGGCAAACCTGATAGATTTGGGAAGGCCACTCTTAAGATGAGGATTTTGTCATGCTGGTGGAAGTTGAAATTTGCTGAACGTTAAGAGGATGTTGTGTTTAAATCGTGTTGGAAATGCACAGACAAAAGAAACCCTTTCCCCAGGTGTTTACAATATGTTTCCAAGCAGACACGTTGGCTTGTGGTGACTAGATTTATTTTTTAAGTCTTGGCTTGACATTGGCAAATTTTTTCAAGATTTCTTTAATTAGTGGCAATAGTGCACATGCATTTTTCGTGATATGTGCTGAGTTAAAAATAAAAAAATTTCCCAAACTCTTGAGAGTAAGTCAAGTTAGTTGAACATAGTCTAAGTGAAATACTATGATTAAAAAAAATAATAAATCACTTCAGTAGCAGCTATATGCTTTCTGTGTTAACTTAATAAAGTTTGGGATCTGACTAATAACATCACACATAAATAAAATATTTAGGTTTTAGTTATTTAGTTTTTAGTAATTTAGTTATGAGTGATTTAATTTTGGGTAATTTTTTCTTGTCTTTCCAAAACCAGTTTTCAACTCTTTAGTTCTCCCATTTAATCTTGTTTGTATTTTTTAATCTCCTGTCTTACTGTTACATTATTTCTTCTTTGTGTTCTGTCACACATGACATTTGAAATCTGAAGTTACCCGGTATAAAATGGGAGTTAAGCACAGTTGCAAACCAAATCTCAAGCCATGTGGAAAGGGTGAGGCCATGACAGTAAATAGTAACAATAGTAAAAACTGCTGCATTAAAACATCCAGAATTACAGATTCAGAGCTTCAGTCTGTTCCTTTGTAAAAATGTGTGATGGCAAGAGTTGGGGCCACACTTATGGTCATTTTAAAGTTAAATTATTTTTAGTATTTTTACCAAGGTTGGTCCAAAGCCTGTTAAAATCAAAGGGAAACAAGTACATATGTGGATCGGACCCCTGGTGCTTACTGTAAAGGTGTGGGTTGAGGGTGTGTGTGTGTGTGTTTTTTTTTTTTTAATGTGCCTCTACCATTCTGTAGTGACAAGTGTGTGGTGTTAGTGGCAACAACACTCACTCTGCAGGTTTGAATTTGTTCAAGGGGTTTTGGTGAGTTAATTTTGGACTAATTCTGGTGCTAGTCAGGTGCCATCTGCCTTCTTGTTGCCTGGGGAAAGTAAGAAGCCAGGGCAAGTGGTGGAAGTGTGTGCTGCGGCTGATGGGGCAGCAAGGCAGTGGGATGGCAGGGGTCAGGTAGCACCCACTTAGCCTGTGCCAATCTCATGGGATGAAGGTGATAATACATGGCCTTGTTTCTGCACAGCCCAGGCAGGTTCCTGCACCCCTGCGGAGCCCCACTTAATTTAAGGGGGGTCCAGGCAGCAACAGAGCTCTCTGCAAGTATGTTCGTTGTGGGGCTGCTGTAGGCTTTTAGATACCATTGAGTGTGTCCCTTTCAGGGATGTTTAATAAATCTCTGGATTTCTGTAAAATGCAAATCTATAAGATGAGCAAAAATCTATCTGTAAATAAAAGCATATATTTAGATTAATGCAAATCACTCTCTACTGAATTAAAGTTTGGGATCTGACTCATTTTAATAAAGACTTGAAGGCAAATGCTTATCTGTAGAGGAAACAAAATCTTATTACCTCATTTTCCTCAGTGAAATCCATTCACTCAGTGTAGTTCAGTTAGTGTTCCCAAAGTGTTTGAAGATCACCAGATAACCCTCTTGACCTGAAGAAGGGAGAGTGTCATGGAGAAAGCCACAGTTAACAACCTGGGCAGGCTAATTACAACATGCGTTTGCTGTCCCCTCTCTGACCTCCATTATCCTTCTGAAGTGCTCTTTGGCTCTTTAGCAAAGCCTCTTCCTCCCTCTTCAGCGTGCCTTGCCCCTTTTTCTGTCTCTTTGGTTGTCTTTAAACGATACTGCTGCAGAAGTGTGAGGCTGGTGGGCTTCAGGAGATGTAAGCAGGTGGAAGGAGTCTGTGAGGAGTAAATGAGAAATATAGATTTAAATGTCAGCGAGAGAAGCAAAGGGTAAGGAGAGAGGTGAAAAAGCATGCAGGTATCTGTAGGATGAGAAAGTAAAAAATATTGCTGAATCTAGACCCATCCTCATCTGCTGCTTGTCACAGGTCTCCCTGGTGCCTTGTCCCTGTCAGCTGCTTTCAGAAGTGGTTTGTGTGGAGGCAAAGGAGGGATTTGTATATACAGCAAAAAAATAAGAGAGGGATTTCTGAGGTAGAACAGAGGCTCCATCTATCTTTCTGCCCTAAATCTTAAACCGGAGTGAGAGTGTGTAATTGAGGAGTAGATGTTGTGGCCAAAGGACGAGGCAGCTGTGTGAACTGTGGGCACCGTGTTCTGAAAAGAGGATGAAGCCAGATCAGACTACGTGATGACAGATGGTCCGCATCAGAAACCAGATGGCCCAGTGAGTCCTGCCACTCCTGCTACGAAATAGCAGGCGGAAGAGAAGCCCAGTGTAGTCCAAAATGTTGTTACACCCTTATGTAAGGGCCACTCATGGTTTGTAAATGATGTTACACCTAGAAATCCAGTCTGTGATGGCTGATTCATAAGCTAGTGCAGGCTGCTTGCAGGAAGGGTGACAGATCTGAGACCCAACTTACTTTTGCAAATGCATCTGCATGTGGCTCGTCAGCTAACGTGCCTCAGTGGCTTTCAGGCCAGGCTGCCTTACAGGCCATGCAGGTGTTCCGTGTAAGATGCTAAAGCTTAGTTAAGGTCTTAACTAATTGATAGTATCCACGGATGATCATTGCAGCTGCTTCAGGGTGTACAGTTATGAATAATTGTCTGCTTGTTTACAAATGTCTGAGTGCTGTAATCTAGAAGTTGCTCTAAACCTGTGGCAGGGCAGCATGGATGCATGCTGGTCCAGGCGCCCCTGCTGTGGCTGGCTGCCCTTCTGATTTGTGACGTGTGTAATTGCTACAATATTAATATTAACCTATGTGTTTTGCATCTCTTATTCTGCCTACATCTGTGAAGTCTTGTGTCTTCCTTTCATGGAGGCAGTAAGAGCCAACCAAGACTCAGAAAACTTAAAACATGAACTGAGAATGACGTGAAGGAAAGCAGATTTATAGCTAAAATGTCCCGCTAATCCAAACCCCATCTGTTTGGTACCCTGTCCTGGGAACAGATTTCAAAGTGGTTCTGAAATGCTAATCTAGTACTGAAATTCTGATCTACTGTTAATGTCAAGTTTATTAAGGGATGTTTTGTACATATGTGAATACACGAAAACTTGCTGGGAGGGATTTGTGTGTTTTGTACATGGGGCTTGTATTTTTCAAATTAAAAGTTCTGTTGATCATTAGGGCAATATAGTATCCCAACATATAAGTACAAGCACCTTCCAACAGTGAATTAAGCAATGCCACTAACTTGTCAGCAAATTAAATATAAGTCCAATACAAACCAAATAGCCTTGGCTGGCACTTAGATCAAGTAGAGATATGTTTTTATGTTCTTGTTAAATCTGGCACAATAAGGATAGTGATTGAGAGCTATTAAAAGTACTAAAGCTTGAAAGCATTAGCTTATTTCTCAGGAGAGGCTGTATTTGAGACAAAACTAGGGTTCAAGATTCCTCTGTCCTGTCTGTTGAACCACAGATGCGTGTGCTAAGGGCTCCTTTCTCGTGGAGGAGCTCTGAGACCAGTGTGCATCTTATCTCTTCTCTCAGACGCTGAATGCATTTGAAATACGATGCTGTTGTTTCTGATGTGCCCATATTAAATGTACAAAAATCAAATGTCCTTAATTAAAACATTTGTAGGTCTGGTTTAGTAACCGCCGAGCTAGATGGAGGAAACAGGCAGGAGCCAATCAACTGATGGCTTTCAACCACCTGATCCCAGGAGGATTTCCACCCAGTGCCATGCCAACTTTGCCAACGTACCAGCTCTCTGAGCCCTCCTATCAACCCACCTCCATACCGCAAGGTACAGTAGCCAACAGGTACTTGGTTAAAATAGTGTTATTGGGGGGTTCCTGTGTTGATCCATTGCAGAAACATTTTCTTCTCTAATGTGGAAAACGGCGTGTTGGCTAATTTAGGGTCTGAGTCAGTAAGAACATTGCAAGCCTGCTTATTTTAAGCATGTAAGAAATCAGGTTTGTTTTGCTGCAAGAAAGGGCTAGTTATGTGTGAAGACTGCTAGCAAGAGAAACAGTAGCCTCACACGCAACAGAGGTGCAGCGTTTGGTAGAGCAATGTGTGCTCTTCCCTACCCTTCCACTGCGTTGGCCGCCTCCGCTGAGAGCACCCGGCATGGCAGGGAAGGAGACAGCATTTGCATTCCGTTGTCTTTGTTGCTTTCTGTGATGGTGCACAGGAAACTTCTGTGAGTAGTCAGGATATTTATCTGATGGTGGAAAAAACTAGCTATTCAGGCAGTCTTGTTTCACATCGGATAGTAGCAAGTCTCAGCATGGTAAAAATTGGTATTAACCCTATCAGGAATTCTGTGAACTTTGATGAATTTGGGGGGGTGGGGGGGTGGGGAACAGAGCTTCAAATCTAGGCTACACTAGATTTTACTGTTAAAGAAAAACCTTACAGGTGAGTTTTGGTAAGAAAATTGCTGTGCTCTTCTTACTCCTTCCTTGAGATTTGGATCCTAACTGTTGGTGCATGTTTTTTCTAGGCCATGTTCTAATTAAGGGAATTTTGCAAAGGGCTTCTCTCATCCATTGCTAGGTTTGCTACAAATCACAGCAGAATTTCTGTGATGTGATCAGAAGGGGAAAGCCTGTTAACAGTCTTCTAAGCAAATAAAGCTTTTCCTTTATATATAGATGTCTGTATAAAAAAAGTATACTATATCTTATATATATGATATATATAAAAAATATAAATTTTCTTTTTAACTTTGCTGTAGCAATTCTGAACAATATGTACCCACTAAGGATTGTCTGAAAACTGCATGTGTCTATTATAATTTTTACAGTCTTTTAAGAATTTTTATGTAATTTAACTGGCCAGTTAAATATCTAGCAATATTGAAGACTTAACCTTTTTGTTTAACCAGTATTTACATGAAGGTCTTGATGTAATTCTGTCAAGTTGAGCTTCACATAATGAACTTATTACGCCAGAAAAAAGAAGGAAAACATATCAACATGTTTCTTTTGCTTCTAGCTGTGTCTGATCCAAGCAGTACCGTTCATAGACCTCAGCCTCTCCCTCCAAGCACCGTGCACCAAAGCAGCCTCCCTTCAAATCCAGAGAGCAGCTCTGCCTATTGCCTACCCAGCACCAGGCATGGATTTTCCAGCTATACAGACAGCTTTGTGCCTCCGTCCGGGCCCTCAAATCCCATGAACCCTGCCATTGGCAATGGCCTTTCACCTCAGGTCAGTCCTGTGTTTTCAGACAGAGGATTTGCTGTATAGCAGAACCAAAGAGTCTATTCCCTCAGGCCACAGTATAATGAATTGCCAAATTTAAACCATAATGTATTCTTTATACAAGCCACATGATTTCAGTTTGCTAGTTTCCTTCTTTTTTTTTTTTTTTTTTCCTCCTACTGGCTGAATCGAGAGTCATAGTTTATATTTAATTTCAAGTGATTTATAATGTAGTCATGCAGGCTTCATGTTTACATTCAGTTGTCAGGCATTTCTAATGTACTGCTATTTTTCTGAAGATCCATGGCTAGGTACAGAGAAGTAGATCATGCAGTTTTTCTATAAATAAAATATCTCTGTAAGATAACCTCACCAAGGTTTTACCCAAATGGTCCAGAAAAATTACAGGCAAGTTGTACGAGCAGAGTTCCAAGGGCTGAGCTGTACACGCTGAGATGAGCCATAATCGAGTTATAAATTAGGAGTATTACTGCTCTTTGGCAATCTATAAATGCATGGATACCATAATTGTTTTTCTAATTTGCATGAGCTCTTTTTAGGAAATCATGTTAATAAATTGCCTTGATAATTGAGTGTCAAAAGGTTGGTTAAATTTTCCTACACGCAGCATCTGTCTGAAGCTGACGCTATTAGTTAAGGCTTGGATAGATGGTAGTTTATTTTATTAGCGAGAGCTTTGCCCAGGTGCTTGGAAAGAGATGTCCACTAAATTCTGAGAAGTCAAAGAGGATGCAATCTATAATTACAATCAGGAATCTCTTCAGGGCTGAAAGTGAGAGTTTTAACAGCTTTATCTTCTTTCTACCCTTTTTTCCTCTCAGTGGTTAGAAAAACAGAGAGAAGCTCAGAATGACACAAATGAAAAGTGAAAAGACAATTATACTCAATTACACACTAATCACTGACTATCACCACTGCCTAAGCAGGGAGAGGGCATTCTAATAGGCAGAAAATGAGATTTTAATGGCACAAAGGGTGGCCAAAATAACGACTCGTATATCTTTGCCTCCTTCGTTTTCTTCAACTTGTGGTTTGCATCTCGGGAGTACAGTTCCTGGTTCCTGTGCAACGGTGATAACTCTGTGCAGCTGAAAAGTTCAAAGGCACTGAAGTTGAAAAGAATGAATAACAAAGGCAATGAAATAAACATTTTTGCCCAAAGGCAAAAGTTCATAAACCCTTTTTTGTAACAGTAAATGTAATTAAGTTTCACAGATTCCTATAGCATAGAGTGGGGTACAAAACTTTATGGCTTGAAACCTCGGGAAAAAAATACCAACAGAAAAACAAACGGATGTACTTCCAACAAGACTTGAATGGATTTTGTTCTGAAGAATTCTGATTTCTAAATGCAATCTCCAACAAAAACCATGACATTATATTAGTTGCTTCATTTTTTTTTTTTAAATGGCCATTTTCATAGTGTGCAAGGCTTCCACAATTTTGATATAAACATCTTTCTGGGATTCAGCGTTAATCCATCAAAAGTAGTTGTTAGTGTCAGTTTAAATGCATGTTGGTTCTGGCTATGGAAAATGTGATCTTTTTTTCCTTTCACAAAGCTTTTATTGTCTGTGGCACAGAAGTGAAGCACAACAGTAAAGAAATCTTGTGGTGTCTGGGCAAAGTGGGACAAAAAAGTGAGGCCAGGTTTCCTCCCCCCAAAGTCTTGCTGATTTGAGGTTTGATATAATCAAAAGGAGATCCTGGAGCAGATTAGATGTCCTTAATCAGTTACTGTGCTTTTTTACACCCAGCCCTGTCTTTACGCTATGAAACTTCTGGGGTTTGTTGTTTTTCCTTAGACATTTGAAACCTTTTCCTACCCCAGTGCTTAGAGCTCCTGGCCCTATCCTGCACCTCTACCAACAGGTTTAGGAGAACACCAGTCACTCAAAAGCTGGCGTTGTGTTCATCGCTGAATGCATACATTTAGATTTTGAAGAGCTTCTTGGCAACTGAATGATTACCTTTTCTGGCTGATGAAGATCGTTCTATCAAACAAACATGAAACCCAGCCCTAAATTCATGCAGTTACCAACAGCTCCTTTAAAACATTTTTGGAGCCTAAACAATGGCTTAGAGACATGTATAAAATGTACGTATGTATAAAATGCCATACCTAGGATTTGTGTTTATATAAGGGAGTGATACAGCCTCAAATATGTAAATTGTGTGCAACAAATTGCACAACTCTAGCAAAACAGCAATTGTGCTTTACACCTGAAAAAAAGCTTGAGACGTCGGTCACGTACGCGCGATGTTACTGCATGTGAGATGCCCCTTCGTTGTGGGCTGTGCTGCAGTGCACCCCCTTGTCACGCTTCCTCAGGGCTCTTCCTGCAGGCACCCAGGTGGCCGGCAAGTCAAAGGCCAGTTCTGTGTTGGGGGTTTTATGAAGAGAGAGAAACAGGAGTGATGAGAAGGAAAGAAGGTCTTTTTACAAGCCGGTGGATTTCTGACCACAGTAAATCTGGGTGTGTGAGAAATTAACATAATGTTTCCACCCATCAATGTCCTCTCAGGCAAGTGCTCTGGACATACTGTGTGTAAAGCTGAATTTATGGTGACTTTAGCAGGAGGAGGGGCTCTGTCTGAAGCCCAAATAATCTTTTGTGATTTAAAAAAAACAAAAAATCTTGGAATGTGCAGAAGAAAATCTAATATTAAGATTCATGGGATGATATTCTTGCCAGGCTTAAACCTCCTTTTCCCCTTTGACTTCAATTTATTCCAAATGAAGGTCTGAAATGCAGACCCCTGGAGAAGTTTTGTTTTCCACGCAGGATGTTTCCTTTCTAACTGTGTTTTTGAGTATGATGGACAAATATGTTGTTTCAGGCAAGCACTGGGTGAAGGCAAAGGACAAGAGGAGATGGCTAGGGTGCTGTAATTTTATTTTTATCATGTTAGCCATGAACTTGGAAGTTGGAGAAGACTGTATGTTTTGGTCAGTTTTGGGAAGCAGAATGCTTCCCTGTCTTGCAGGCTGGGAAATAAAATGTTGTTGCTTTTGTTTAAAAGAATAAGAGAATAGAAAGAGTCTGACCTTGTTAATACTATTCAGCACTTTTTAACATCAAGACAAGATCTGCAGCTCTCTTCGGGATGACTGATTATTCTCCCTGTTCATCTGTTTTACTCGTTGCTACCTGGCTGTGGTGAGAGAACCTCTGTCTTTCAGACCCGCAGAGGGTTGATTTTCGCAGGAATGAGACAGGGATTAATGTCTTGGGAACTGGTAGCCAGGAGCATCCCTGTTTGGATTTCATGAAAAAGCAACCAAACGGCAGCACGCCATCTCAGTCAGTGCTCTTTAAATATAATATCAGAATGGAGATTATTAGTGTGTAATATATGTAAATTGCATATTTGTATGTTTTCTATGCCTATTATGCAGCTTCTTGGCTTTCATGCATACGTTTATGGGAATATTGTATTTCCTTTTCAAATTAGGTTTCACTTGCTCAGTGCATTTTCTTTTAAAAAACATTTGTTAACTCAAAATTATTAGGGAGTAACATATCTGTGCATTAATATGTGTGTATGGGACTTAACACATGCCTCTGAATTGGCGTGCCACTTTCTGATCCCGGCATTAGCAGTCATCGCCGGTTCTTCCATGGAAAGCAGAAGAGTGACTGCAAAAACACTTGTCTCGCCACTGCAGGTGTATGGTCTTACTAGAGAGCAGACTGTTTTTAAGACAGGATATCAATATTTTGAACTGCTTCATTTAAGAGAAGGAAAAAGGCTTTTCCGGTGTACATGGGCATCCCTTGACCTTGTCATGTGCTTTTTATTAGTGTCAAAGCAGTGGAGTTTGCTCTACATCAGGCTGTTTAGGCAGTTTGCTGGTTTTGAAGCGTGCCATTTCGGACTGCTCGTGGATTCAGATCAAGCGGCAATACTCGGCTCGTGTTGCTGCCCACAAGGCGACTTGCTTCCTGTATTTAACCTGTAGGATACCCAGGCTTAAATAGTACTGCAGTGTTAAGTTGTTACTGGAAAAAGAACAAACGAGTGTAACCTGTCTCCTGCTGGACAAAATTTTTTTTCCTCCTTGCCCTCTAGGAGACTTCTCAGATTGACTTTTTCCTCTTACCTGTCATCTTCCCCCATAACTGAGTCTAAGCGGTAACTTTGAAGGCTGCAGTTTCAAAATGGGAAGTGGATTGAATGTTGACTGGGTTGTGTAGAAGATCCTAACAGTCTTTAACAAAGTTTGCAGTTCTCATGCCATTACCTGGAGCTCGGGAGTAATCTTGATAAGAAAATTCCAAATTTTTCTGTGAACAGCAGTAAAGATGCAAGCTGTTTCAAGGTTTCTTTCTTCTACTGTCAAAACATTTCACTGCCTGAGTTTCAGAATTATCCTGTAACTCTTTTTGGTGAGATAGATCTTGGGCAATTGGCTTCTCTTAAGTCTTTGAGAGCACTTGGTTTTCATTAACCTGAAGTATGGATCTGATGGCAGCTGTCGAATCGGTTAGATACGTTCATGTTGTGTTGTTAACTCTGCTTTTAAGGGAAACACAGGAACCAGTGGCTAAAAACTTGCATTTCCTCATTAAGAGGGACAGGAGGAGGAAAAAAAGGAACTATTAATATATTATGCTTTTTCCTATACCTTCTGTTGAATTACTGTCCAACTGGTTGCCCACAGAAACATTTCATTTGGATCCAAGTCCCCCACTGACGAGAAGCTCGTGATCTTTATCACAATGAACTTGGCTTTGAGAGCTCTTCGCTTAATGACCCAAGAACATGAGACAGGGGTCAGGGATTTCTTTGTGGGGAAGAAAGTTAATTCACATGATATAATTTTCACAAGCACGAGTTTTTGTTTGGTGGTTTGGGTTTTTTTTAATTAAAAAAAAAAAGTCCAGCCAACGGGCTTGATTATTTCTGTTTCTGGAGTGGGTATAAATAGATGGGATCCAATAGTTTTGTAATTGTTATTGTGCAAGAAAAATAACACTTCT